CTTCTAGTCCAAGCGCCCCCTCAAGCAGAATATCTTATACCATTCTGGACAGACACTATCCAGTCTCTTCTTAAAAACCTCCAGTGAAGGAACACCCACAACCTTTGGAGGCAAGCCATTCCACTGATTAATTTTTCTCACTGCCAGGAAATTTCTCCTTTGTTCTAGGTTGCTTCTCTCCTTGATAAGTTCCCAACTGATACTCTTGTCCTTCTCTCAGGTGCTTCAGAGAATAGAAAAACCCCTCCTCTCTGAGGCAGCCCCTCAAATATTGAAAGACTGCTATCAATTCATTCCTAGTCCTTTTCTTTGTTAGACTAGGTATACCAAGTTCTTGCAACACTTCACCGTATGTTTTATCCTCCAGTCATTGTTGCTATTATTCTCTACACTCATTCTAGAGTTTCAACATCTTTTTTGTATCATAGTGACCAAAATTGGCATTGTCCTCTCTCCATGTAGATGTAGTTCAATTGAGGAATACACGTTAACTTTTGTTAGTCAGCCAGTTATGAATCCATCCGGTGATGATACTAACTAGCACAATTTTTTCTATGTTACCACAAAGTAAGAGGTCTACTTTGTCAAATGCCTTGCTGAAGTCCAAGTATGCAATGTACACAGCATTTCACTGGTCCACTAATTTAGTGATTTTGTCAAAGACTCCAATACATTTGGTCTGACATTATCTGTTTTTGACAAAGTCATGTTGGTTTCTAGGTGTTTGCTTGATTATCTTTTCCAGAATCTTTCTGGGTTTGCCTCAGTGCGTGGATGTACTGCTAATATTGCAATGATGAAATATTGCCTGTCATTTAGTTCCTGTCATAAATACATAATAAAACCAAAGAAACAAAATTGTAAGAAAGAAAACATGTGTTTCTTTGTATAAAAACTCTGCTCATAGAAAACCCATTGTCAAATACAACTCTTGGCTTCCTTATCTTTTTCTATTCAAACCTGGCAGCAATAAAGTAATAATATATGCATTCCTTTATGAAGAGGAAGTCATATCTACTTTAACAGACTGCCACAATTCTTTTTAGGGGGGGAAGTGTCAGTTTACTAATATAAAACAGGACAAATGGAACACATCTCAAACAATTATATAAAATGCAATATGGAGAAAATGGGGAAGATCATTAAAATGGTATTTATCCATATATTTGTTAGATTTATGTTCTACTTTTTCCTCCAGAAGTCTCATCCTACATTTTTTTCCCCAAAACCATCTAATACAGGCGTCTTCAAACTTGGCCCTTTTATGACTTGTGGACTTCAACTCCCAGAATTCCTCAGCCAGCATGCCTGTCTGAGGAATTCTTGGAGTTGAAGTCCACAAGTCATAAAAGGGCCAAGTTTGAAGATCCCTGATCTAATAGGTAGGTTGGGCTGTAAAAGAATTGATTGGCCCCAGGTCACCAAGAGAACATTTATAGCTTAAGGTGGATTTCTTCCTAGTGCAACATGCTAACCTCATAGTCAAGAGTATTATTAGAATAAATAGAGATCAGTCAGTTACATTATATATTCTTAACCATCAGTTATACCAGCATAGACATGGTTAGCTGCTTTGGCTAGCAAGTTGTGATAGATGCTATTCCTTTCATATTAAATAGAATAAATTTTACAAAATAGATGTGCTTGCTTCTTTGTCTTAATAATAATAATAAAGTTGGAAGGGACCTTGGAGGTCATAGAGTCCAACCCCCTGCTCAGGCAGGCAGGAAACCCTACAGCATTTCAGACAGATGGCTGTCCAGTCTCTTCTTAAAACTTCCAGTGTTGGAGCATTCACCACTTCTGGAGGCAGGTTGTTCCATTAGTTAATTGTTCTAACTGTCAGGAAGTTTCTCCTTAGTTCTAGGTTGCTTCTCTCATTAATTAGTTTCCATCCATTGCTTCTTGTCCTGCCCTCAGGCACTTTGGAGAATAGCCTGACTCCATCTTCTTTGAGGCAGCTCCTGAGATATTGGAACACTGCTATCATGTCCCTCCTCGTCCTTCTCTTCGTTAAACTAGACATACCCAATTCCAGCAACCATTCCTCATATGTTTTAGCCTCCAGTCCCCTAATCATCTTTGTTGCTCTTCTCTGTATTCTTTCTAGAGTCTCAACATCTTTTTTACATCGTGGTGACCAAAACGATGTAAAAAAGATGCTGAGACTCTAGCATATAATGAACTCAGTTTTATGACTTGAGAAAGAGCTAAGTGGAAGTGTATAATCTTGGGTCAGTTGATGCAGCTAAGGATAAATGCAGGACATCATAGCCTTGCAGAGTCCCAAGTGACCAGGAAATGAATATGGCAAGTAATGAAATAATGGCAAGCTTGTTAAATAAGGATTTCCCCAATTGCAGACATAATGTATTTCCCTTCAACCCAGTAATTTCAGGCAGGATTCCAAGAAAAGTAGAAAGCCTGTTCCAATCCAATCTACTTATCAGAGTAATTTATCTACAGGATGAGAAACAAAGAATTTAGATTACAAGGCAACAGATTTTTGGTTAGAGAACAGGAATATTTTTCTAATGGTAAAAGCTATTCAATAGTGGATATGGCTGTGTCAGGAGATGGAGGGTTCCCTTTGTTAGGGGTGTTTAAATAGAGATCTTCAAAGTCCCTTCCATTCTATGATTCTAGCACTATCCAGAAGAAAATTTGTGAAGTCCTCTCCCACTTTTTTAAAATCAATCTCATCTGAAAAGATTGCTTTGCATAAAAATGCTTCAGTTTAACTATCTGATGTTTTAAAAAAATATTTCTACAATAAGTGAAAATATGCCTGCAAGTATTATCTAAATCTATCATAAAACAGCAGCAGCAGGAGGAGGAGGAGGAGGAGGAGGAGATGATGATGATGATGATGATAAAAGTCTCCTGTGCAAGCCAACCTATTTTTTTTCTCTAAAGGAGATTAATCTACATCTGAATGTTCTCATTCTGTTGAAAAGCAAACAAAATAAATTAAAACAAGATGTACTTTTCCTATGCTGGTAAAAAAAAAAAAATAACTTTAGACTTTAAAGCAGTTAATTTCTTATTGCTCCAAACTGAAAATGGTATTTTTTTTTCTTAAGGACTGAAGAACTGAAGGATGCAGTCAAATTAATTTGCATTGGGTCAAGATGAGACAACACCTGCACAATTTAATTTGAATAAGAATATTAATGAATCAAGGCAAAACATAGGACAATGAAACAAGGGGGATTCAGGGAAGAGGACCAACAACTAATTTGTCAAGATGCATTCTGTATTCCTGACCCTAATTCCTCTATTATAATGCAGTGAGAATGTATCAGTGGATCTTAGAGCTAGGAAAGATGAAACGTTCCAACCATAAATTTGCCATATTCTTAGATTGGAAAACCTCAGGAAAGTGACAAAAATGCTGTTAAAGAAGGCTGCAATGATATTCAGATTTTGGAAATAAGATCTTACCTATGTAAATCTAACTCAGGAATGTAGAAAGGGATTCTAAAAGTTTCTTGCTACTAGAATATGATGTTATCTCACATTATTTACTCAAAAGTACCGGTCAAGCATAAAAAAATCCCTTCTTATCCCTATGGGTGATCTATGCCTTTGTCAATCTCAAACTGGCAGTTTGAGGGTTCTGTGTAATATTCTTAACTGTTCCTCACACTGCGAAGTTTTGCACAGACAATTCTGATGTCGGTCCTTGGATCTTTTGGAGCCATTCTCTCAGCTTAAGAGTCACAACCCTGAATACCTTAGGACCACTTTGACCTTTACTTTCCCCAACCTTTCTAGTTCTTCTTGCAGGTCTTGTACTTCTCCAGCTTCTCGTACTTCTTCCTGAATTCAAACCACTGTGCCACTAAGAGCTGTGGTGGCACAGTGGTTAGAATGCAGTATTGCAGGCTAATTCTGCTAACTGCCAGCAGTTCAGTCCTGACGGAGCTCAAAGTTGACTCAACTTTTCATCCTTCCGAGGTCGGTAAAATGAGAACCCAGATTGTTGGGGGGGCAATAGGCTGACTCTGTAAACCGCTTGGTGAGGGCTGTAAAGCACTGTAAAACGGTATATAAGTTAAAGTGCTATTGCTGTCACTTGGCATCACTACATCTATCACCAGCACTGTCTTTTGGCCTTATTTACTACATGATGTCTGTCTACCTGTACCTGGAAGTCTTACAGGATCTTAGTCCTGTTATCCTCCATGAGCTTCTATATGTTATTCTATAGAATCTTCCATCTGGACTTGGGAGGTACTAGTCCCTGTGTAGATGTTCCTGTACACAATGCCAGCTATTTGGTTGGATCATTCAGTATATGGTCTTCCAGCTTGCATCTTTCACCCTGCCACTATTTGTTGGACTGTCTCTGAGGCCTTTCTGCAGTCTGCACCTCAGGTCCTGTCTGGTGTGGTTAAGTCCTGCTTCAGTGGAAGTGGTGCTTAATGCCTAGATGTATGCTGCTATGCCTCAACCTGAAGCCACATCAGCTGTAAGAAATGGGCAATTCAGTTTCTTGTTCTTTGCAATAATTCAGGTGGCTCTGTTAAACAAATTATTTCACAGGGGGGGGTTTTGTATATAAATGTACTTAATTCTTTGTGCAAATGCTGTGCTGAACTAAGCCAATTTTATAATCTTTTGATACTAGTTTTGCTTGATAAATCCTATTGAAGATCTGAGTTTTAATATAAAGACACAAAAACTTTTTTGCCTTATGAGATGATTTAATGCTGAAGTACTGTGCATTTAAGATATGTTAGAAAAGGGAAAAAAATAAAAACATTTCTATTTTTTTTCCTGAAATAGAGAAAGAGTTCACCCATGGAAAGATCCTTCATGTCAACTTTCTTTGTTAGTTAAAAACCATGTTGTGATTCTTTATACAAAAATACAGGCATATACTTAATTCAAAGGAAGCTCCACCTTTTGCAGCTGAATAAATTGCTGGCCTATTGTAGCAGCTTCGTGTGATCTCTGTTCACAGTTTCATGCCTCAACTTTGTTGACTTTTTTAGGTACACTAAAATGAAGACTGCCACCAACATTTATATTTTCAACCTTGCCCTGGCCGATGCCTTAGCCACAAGTACGCTGCCATTTCAAAGCGTGAATTATCTTCTGGGAACATGGCCATTTGGCACCACTATTTGTAAGATTGTCATATCCATAGATTACTATAACATGTTCACAAGTATTTTCACCCTCTGCACCATGAGTGTGGATCGCTACATAGCAGTTTGCCACCCGGTCAAGGCTTTGGATTTCCGCACCCCTCGAAATGCCAAGATTGTCAACGTCTGTAACTGGATCATTTCTTCAGCAATTGGCATTCCCGTGATGGTGATGGCAACCACCAAAGAGAGTAATGGTGAGTCAGAATTTCTTTTCCTACCTTCAAATGGACACTGGAGGTTTCTTTATCTGAACCTGGGGAAGATTTACGAGGAAATGAATTCCTAAGGTAGTTTCGAAACAAATTAGAATCAGGCACTGTACCAGGTCTGATACAAACCCTTTATAAGATTTTTTAAAAAATGAATATGCCTTTTGAAACTGTATGTATGTATATATGTCTTGGTCTCGCTCTCTCGCTCTCTCCCTCTCTCTCTCTCTCCCTCCCTTCCTCTCTCTCTCCCTCTCTCTCCCCCTCCCTCCCTCCCTCTCTCTCTCCCTCCCTCCCTCCCTCTCTCTCTTCTTTCCCTCTCTCCCTCTTTCTCTCTCTGTCTCTCTCTTTCCTTCCCTCTCTCTCTCCCTCCCTTCCTCTCTCTCTCCCTCTCTCTTCCCTCTCCCTCCCTCCCTCCCCCTCCGTCCGTCTCCCCCCCCTCTCTCTCTCTCTTGGAGTGATTCTATACTTTGCCCTACTAGCAGTAAAGATATTGCCAGAAATCCAAATGGTTCTTATTTCCAAAATTACCTGCCTTGCAGAGCTTGATGTTAATCCTGAAAATGTGCTAACCTCTCCAGATCAATACACCGAACGTAATTAAGGCAGAATTACTTCTCATGCTTCCCACCTTTCCTGGGCTGATGGGTCTCTTTTTCAATTATTGTATTTTCTCCCACCTCTTCTCAGTACCTGCTAGGCATTCCTTCAAAGTCTCTATCAACTTAAGGTTCAAAATTTATTTCAGAATTACCCTTTAACTTGACCAAGAAGTATAGTTTAAAAGACTTGGATACTCAGCAGAAAAAAGGAAGGGAACTCTTAAGAGAACCAGGAGTTTCACAAATATGCAAAAATTCTAACATGTTACCTAAAATAGGTATTGATTACTAGAAAAAGTCTCAGATTTTGCATTTTTGCTTAAAGAAATGCATTTCCATCTCTGTCTTCTCAGTAAGACAATTGAGATTAATGGAAATACTTCCAACTGCTTAACTACATATCAAAATGTAACCGTGGAAAGGACTATTCAAGCATTGGATGTAAATTCCATTGTGTTTAATGAGACTTTACTTTGGACTAAGTGTATATAAGACTACAGCCTAAATGTTAGATATTTAAGAAATACTAATAGATAAACCAGGTTATTTGTGCTTCTCTCAATTGATCCATTGATTAATAAATCCATTCTATCTTGCATTAATGTGCACAGATTTTTAAAATTAATATAACAAGTGTTTTAGGCATGTGGGGGGGTATCCTTGTAGATAGATATGCATTTATTTACTTTTATATAAACATAGCCATATATAAATAACTGTTCACATATGGACATTTTAAGGCCATTAGGCCATTTTAGAGCAAGAACTACAACGCAAAATTTGGAAAAAAATTCATTCCAGCTAAATGGCAGCACTTAGACAACACTGAGTGATTTTTTTTTTTTTTAAAGCTAACCATTATTTGGCCTGGTAGTATTTGGATGGGAGACTGTCAGGAAATAACACAACTATACATTATGCTGGGAAATAAAATCACGTAAAACACTGTAGAAGAAGAGAAAGCACTTCTATATTGCTATCCGGGTAGTCTTCAAGAGTCAAACTTAAAAGACGACATTCTATTTTAAATGTTTTTCTTTTAACAATATCAATTCAAACTAACTTTGCAAGAAGCAGATTTTTCAAACATCCTTAAAAATGCTTCTAAGTCTACAGTTTTCCCTCAAATGACCCAATCATATCTCCCTCTCCCCCTGACAGACATCAGCCTGTCTCATTAGATCTGGCAGGGAGGAGATGTTATGGCTAAGTACCTGCAGATCCCAGGGCCTTCTTTGCCACGGCACCCTCCTTGTGAAACATTTTTCCCCCTGAAGTGAGGCTTGCTTCTTCTTTACTATCATTTAAGAAATCCCTCAAAATCTGATTATGTTCTAAGATGCTAGAGAACTCCTCAAGTTGCTTCTTGCAATGACAGAGTCAGTCTGGGCGTATCATTGGGACCTGGATACATACTTGCTCTCTCCCTGGTTTGTATATTTAATTTTTTTATAACTAATATTCTTATTTTAACAATTAATTTTTAATCCTTTAATGATGATTGTTTTTATTTGTCTTCTGTTTTATTCAATTGTTTTACATCACCCAAAGAGTCACTTTGTATGAGATGGGTGGCCACATAAATGTGATAGATACAGTAGATAGGTAGGTAGGTAGGTAGGTAGGTAGGTAGGAAGGAAGGTAGGTAGGTAGGTAGATAGATAGATAGATAGATAGATAGATAGATAGATAGATAGATAGATAGATAGATAGATAGATAGATAGATACCGTATATTCCGGCGTATAGGGTGACCCGGTGTATGAGATGACCTCCTAGTTCGACGCTGGGTCGCAAGACAATCAACGCCGAGTTGCAAGACGATCGACGCCTAGTCGCATGCCTAGAAAGTCATCTTATACGCTGGAAACTACCGGTATTTCCGGTGTATAAGACGATCAACGCCGAGTTGCATGCCTAGAAAGTCATCTTATGCACCAGAAACTACCTTATTTCCGGCGTATAAGACAACTCGGCGTATAAGACGACCCCCGAGTTCGGAGGCTGTTTCGACGCTCTCAAAAGTCGTCTTATACGTCGGAATATACAGTAGATAGATAGATAGATAGATAGATAGATAGATAGATAGATAGATAGATAGATAGATAGATAGATAGATAGATGTGTTTTTAGATTATACAAACTGTTCATGTTATGTTTTCTCCAAATGGTGACAATGAAAATCTGAACACTTTTCTAATGGGAATAGGTTTTTCATCAAAAAAAAAATTCACTTAATTTTAAGTTATGTAAAAGCAATTGTTTCTTTAGAAAGAATTATCGCTCATGCTTGTGAGGGGGGGAGAGACAGTAACAGTGAAAAAAGCTTAAATTCGTTTGTTTTCTTTTAATTTCTATAGGATCTATCGATTGTACCCTTAAGTTCTCGCATCCAGCCTGGTATTGGGAGAACCTACTGAAAATCTGTGTTTTCATCTTTGCCTTCATCATGCCCATCTTAATCATAACAGTCTGCTACGGACTGATGATTTTACGTCTGAAGAGCGTGCGGATGCTCTCCGGCTCCAAGGAAAAGGACCGAAATCTTCGGAGGATCACCAGGATGGTCCTTGTGGTTGTGGCTGTTTTCATCGTCTGCTGGACGCCAATCCATATTTATGTTATCATTAAAGCCTTGGTCCATATCCCAGAAACTACTTTCCAAACCATCTCCTGGCATTTCTGCATTGCACTAGGATACACCAATAGCTGTCTCAATCCCATCCTTTATGCCTTTCTAGATGAAAACTTCAAAAGATGTTTCCGAGAATTCTGTATCCCAACAACGTCAAGCATTGAGCAGCAAAACTCCACCCGCGTCCGTCAGCACACCCGTGAGCACGCCTCCACTGCCCATACAATGGACAGGACTAACCAGCAGGTATGACTAGAAGTGGAGATGTCAACCGTGGAGACAAGAATTCCTCCTGGAGATGACATGAATTCTGAAGTCACAGTCTTGACTGAATTATAGCTTCTGGAAGTTTTATAAAATCCTTCTGATTTACTGTCCCTGGCTGAGGTGATACACAAAGATGGAAAGACTTATCCAAACGTACGAGGGAAGTTGTGCCAGTTCTACTATGACTAGGAGCTAGAGAACTCAAGTTGCTTCTTGCATGGCCTGAGCCAGTCTGGGTATCATTGTATTATATATTCAACATGCTTGAAAACAGAAGAGATGCTCTCGCTTGCTACTTCAGCAATTCGGTATATTTAGAAACTTCTGATACCAAATCAGAGCATTGGGCTGTGTGACCTAAAACACCTGAACTACAGCTGGCTCAGAGCCAGTCCTCCAATAGCTAATAGTCCTACAATTACTAGAGACTTCCTGCAAATACATACAGGCAGTCCTCGGCTTACTGCCACCATTGCTAAGCAAGGCAGTTGTTAAGTGAGTCATACCTGATTTTACAAAAAAAAATTGCTTTGGTCTTTAAGCAACTCATTGCCATTGTTAAGCAAACAGCATGGTTGTTAAGCTAATGGGCTTTCCCCATTGACTTTGCTTGTCAGGAGCCATCTGGGGAAGTCACAAAGGGGGTGATCACATGACCCCAGGATGCTGCAGCTATGATAAATACATGTTGGTTGCCAAGTCCCTGAATTTTGCTCACTTGGCCATGGGGATACTACGACAGTCATAAGTGCAAGGACTGGATGAAAGTCACTTTTTTCAGTGCCATGGTAACTCTGAACGGTCTCTAAAAGAATGGTTGTAAATTGAGGACTGCCTTCTATAGACAAGTTAACATCATCACAATTCATATACCAAGCATAGACTGGTTTGTTAGATTATTATTATTTTTTTGCCGCAAAGTTTTGTGACTGTTACCTACTGTACAGGATCGCTAGAATATATTTTAGCTATCCAGTTAATTATCTTTAACATATATATGTATATGTTAAAGGAATGTTCATTATGAGAAATCCACCTTGAGGAAATATTACTGGAGGTTTGTTGCATCCGATCAGTCAAAAGATCTGCCTTGCAAATCAAGTGGCTCACTCTGTAAATAAAAGTAGGGTTGCTTCAAACGTGGGAATACTTCAGTGAAGTCAGGTCCTCTTCAGGGATACATGTCTATGGAGATTCTCAGACATCCAGGTCATGGTTGTCCCAAAGGTGCTCTTTCAAAAGGCAACTGGATCTTCTTTGTTTTTCCTTGGAGACATTTCGCTTCTCATCCAACAAGCTTTTTCAATTCAGAACTTGGAGGAGGAGCAAAATGTCTTCAAGCAAAAACCAAGATGATCCAGTTGCCTTTTGAAAGAGCATCTTTGGGTCTTCAGGGATACGCTCTACTCTAGTACACTATATGCATACAGTGGAGGAGTATTTTTCTGAGAAGCCCTGAATTCACAACAAGCACATTCTCTTTTGTCTTCTGTTCATGTGAATAATACCCAATCCAATTCATTGTTTCTATGGAGCTGAAGAAAAGCATTTGTACCTCCAAAACTGCTTTCATTTTGAAGAATTACTCAATAATATATATACACACACAAAACACGGTAACACTCATAGATGCACACAAATTCATTCACGACAAACACAGATGGAGAGAGAGAGAGAGAGAGAGAGAGAGAGAGAGAGAGAGAGAGAGAGAGAGAGAGAGAGAGAGAGAGAGAGAGAGAGAATTGCTCCAATGAATCTGTTTCATATTCAAAATACAGTAACAGTTTGTCTCATTTCTTCATGGTGACTATTTTCCTCTTCTCCTTGGAATGATTTCTCAACTTTATACTCCATCAAAGAATGCACAAACTGAGCCACATCAAATTTTTACTGTGTAGAAATGAGGGAATGTAACCAAGGTGGAAATGATAGGTTTTGATAACTAGGTAGGTATGATAACTACAATGATAGCTCAGCAAGCAATTTGGTTGGGTGTAAACAACTGAATGCAAAATAACAGAGGTACCTCTATAATTCTTTTGAAGGCAGATTTGAATTTCCAGGCTTTCTTTCTGAGATTTGCTCTGTGTTATAATTCGTACACAACAGCAGTGATTTTTCTCTACATTAAGTAGAAAACCTATAATAGAAAGAAAAGAAAAGCTATCAACAATCTCTTCTTAGTTCTTCTGTTTTGCAACAACATGCCTGAGAAAAAATATATAACCTGGGCCTAATAAAGAGCAATGTCTCAGTTCATGGTCAAAAGAACTAACATATGTAACAAGCTTTAGAAAAAAAATTCAGAATATTGTTCTAATTGTCTCTCCTATTCCAAAAATGGAAATCTCCAGGCTAATAAGGATCTGTTAATTTGTTTTATTTATCAGATCTGAACTTAATAATTGTCAGATTTGATAATTAAAATTATGATATCATAAATTATTCTTTAAGACCAGTAAATTCCTTGGATTTACCTCCTGTTCTTTGGGCCAACCAACAAAATGGAGGTTTCAATTGTATATAATTTGCTAAGCAGAAGGCAGCAACTTTTAAACCATGCCTATTGTTCCAGTCTCTATAACCACTCCTGTATTTTTGTCTTTAAATTAGTCATTGTGTCATCCCATATTATATTTTCATGCAGTTCAATAAATAAGCATAGTTATCAAATTAAAGGCAAATGTCAATATATTAAATTGTTATCTTTGATTGCTATTGTGTAGTGTTCAACACACACATGCAATACTTGGACCAATATTTCAAATCATAATGTCTTCTGAATGCAATATGCCTATTAATAGTAATAGTATAGCTATTATCATTAATGTTTTAATAATAGTTTCTGATATTAATCATATACATTATAGGCTTCTCCCATAAGAAGAGATAACCAAACATAAATGTATATACATAATATATTTATATAAATTAACACATTGTTTTACTGATTATTTTTATATTCTACCTTCGAACCAGGATTCAAGGCAGGAAATATAACTTACTCTAAATGTTACTCTCACAGGTAAACTAAAAGGCGTTAGAATGACTTGCTAACATTCAAAGATGGCTTTTCGTCTTTTTGTTTTCTTGGTATTGCTTATTTCTATCACCTAACACTCTTTAAATCTATTGAAAGATTCAGGCTTAAGTTATTTAACAACTCTCAAAAACTGTCCCTTGTGAGGGTTTCTGCCATTAAGTTTCTAACCAAGATTGTTAAGAAGGCGCTTTGTGGGTTTGACTGCTAAATGGTGCTGATCCTTTCTCTGCATCAGAGAGATTGGGAAGAATCAATTAAAGTTGATCTCTTTATTATACAAGAAAGATCCCCACAGAAAACAAACATCACAATATTTTGTTTTTTTTACTTGAGGAAATCCTGTTAGGAAAATAGAAAACAATAAGTGCAAAAAACAAACTATATGCATCTCTGAAAGCAATTGTTTATTCATTCATGACAAAATAGAGTTTACAGAAAGGTATCTCCAGTTCTGAGGGCTTTGAAACAGCATACACTCTAGATCTCTCATATTTTTTAAATGACCCTGCAATCCCTTGTTTTGGTGTGGAGTTGGGGCGACTGATTGAAGCTGAACATTTGCAGGCCGGATGCCTTTCCTGATGCCTATGCAGAGTTCACAGCAGACAATTACTCATTGTTCCCAGAGAGAGAAATATCTTTCCCCTACCTAGAATTGAACTCACAGCCTCCTTATTGTGAGGTGAGAGTTCCACCTTTAGGCTACTATGCCACTCACTAGATCTCTTGTATTCTAACCTGTAGAAAAGACTCCAGTAATAAACTTTATCAGAATGTACAAAAATTTGGATTGGGTACATGCCAGCTGACCTTAAGAAGTGACATCCTTCAAATACACTGCTATTGTATTCATGCAGACCTTCAGGAATAGACTGAATGAAAACATAGCATATACATTCACTTATGATCTGATAGGGTGGGTTGTTCTTAGTCCCTTCCTTTAAATATTGTCATTGATGGGAGCTAAAAAGTATGACTATTCTGTGGCAGCCCCTGCCCTATGAAACATCCTTTCTTTTGTAGTTTGGCAAACCTCTATCCTCCTAGTCTTCTCAAAAGCACTTGAGACTTGTTTTTTCCCCCAAGAACTGTAACAGGGTGAGCATCCTCAAAGTTTAGGAGATCTGGTGATTTTAAATGACATTACTGGAATTACTCAGCAAGCTCAGCTAACAAGGATTATACTGAGGCGAACACAATAGCTTTTCACCCATGACTCAAAGCAGAAAGAAATATAGGAACATGTTTCTACAATGTGTTTATAGAAGCAGTTTGAAACCTGGTGTACATTATCCTTTGTGTCTGTTAATATGTTTGTTAAAGATTTCTCTCTATTCAGTATGGTAGGTTTTGAATGAATGGGATGTAAACTAGTTATATCATGTTTTAATAAGTGAAGAACTGCCAGTGCACAAGTGAGGATCTGCCTGACATCTTTACAATGTTTCTGGTAGACAGTTCCATTACTGCTGCTGATATTTATTACGGAGAATCTTGGTATAGTATAACCTTGATGGCAGAACTCTCTAAGTAAACACGAACCAATTTTTAAAGACTCTTCTTGCATCACCAGGCATACATGGAACTCCTAAAGTTCAAAAGCTGTGCAGGAGAATTTGTGAGAAAAGAAATAAAAGTTTGAAACCATTGCTGGAGAGATCTGACGGGAGCAGATGAGTGAGAAAATAAGAATTACCACTTGATTCTAAGAATCAAAGCTGATTTGAGGGAGATAACGAAGATTAGAGTTCTATTGCTAATTCTTTGAAAGCTAAGAAACAAATATTTTAATACATCTCTGTAGAGATATTTTAGTCTTAGAGCTGGCAATCTTCTTTCTGGAATAATCGGTTAGAGATTACTATTTTAATAGGTCCAAATTACATGCAGTACAAGCTAATTCCACTTCCACCTCACCCCATAAAATAAAGTGTGGTATGGAAAACAAATATATGATAAAGCCCTATCAGTATTTTAAGTGTATTTGTGTATAGGAGTTTGAAACAAATCCCTTTAGGTATAAACAATTGTAAAGAATTTTTTGTTGATGAAAATATTCTTAGCATCTAATCCTTTATGATGGGGAGTACGAGCTAACTGCAATGATAAAGTAAATCAGTGCTATCCCTGGGATATTGAAAAACGACATTCATTCACTAAAAGTACAATCCACATGAACTGAGGATCACTCTTTCATAATAATTGAAGCTTCTATCTACATTGTCTACATTGAACACTAAACAAAACTTCTTTATCACGTGTGGAAAAATAGTGTGAACCATCTTTCCTAGCCAGATACAATTCCAATATTTCTACAGGTATCAGATTATGTAATATTCTTTTCAGACAGATGACATGTGAACAATAGCTAGCAGTGGTAATTCACATTATTCTTGCATTTTGTATCAAAAGTGGCTAGCAATAGCCAGTTCTGTAAATACTATTGTCAATATCTGTACAGTGCTAACATTTGGGTAATGAAATATATTGCACTACTTCATTTTTTAAATAAACATATTCATCCAATCTGATTTTATCACATGTATTTAAATAGCATATTTTCTGTTTCAAAATCTGCATAAATTGAGTAATAGAATAAGATTACATGTATATGTTATGAGTCCTCTAAAATAATACCATTGTGTGTAAATGTGTGTAAAAATGTGAGTGTAATTGTATCTGTAAGGTAGTGCAGCATTTATATACATACGTTAAGAAAAAATATTCACGCAGCATGAAATTAAACAATTTGTTTCAAAAATAAAATATAGCTCTACGTATACAATATATATAACATATATACAATGTGTTATACACAGTTTTCTACATCATTGCAAATGTTGTCATTTGTCTCTCCATGTGATTGCCACTAGAATAATTAACAACGTACAAAAGTACACTCGAGTCAGAATAACAATAGTTCTTTGGAACAAGCAAGATTAATAATCATACATGTCATTTGTAGTTAAATAATATGTTATATTTGTTTGTGTTTTCTGCAATTAAATTGTCAAAATGCACAGAGGAAGCAAAAAAAAGATTATTTTTTTCTGCATTAAAAAGAAAATCATACCCATTGCTCCCTTTTAAAAATGTTTAGCACTCCATTTTCACTGCTGGTTTGCAGAAGAAAAAGTTTGTAGGAAGGAAATACACTACTTATCTTGAGTGAAAATGTGAGTTAAATAAATGAAATCAAATTATAAAAACTCATGTATTTATGCATGAAGACTCTTTCTGAAATCATGCCTTTACCAGCTTCAACAATTAGCAAACCGCCTTTATGTTAATTTATTGTGGTGTAATTAATATCAGTCAGATTCCCATCCTCATTGGCCATCTGACCTGCATCTGAAAACAATTCACTCTACCTCCAACCAATTGAAGTGTTCCAATCCTTCTTTTCTAGAAGTTGCTTAATTAACCCATTTTCAATATTTGGATCAAATCTGCCTTCAGAGAAAGAAAAGAAAGAAAAGCAAAACAAAAAATGGATCAAAATAACCATACCAGCAATTAGGAATAGATAAGAGCATCACACAAGTAATTTTCTTTGACCTCACTTAAGATTTATTAAGAACAATTAGAAGTGATTACATAACAATTACAGCAGGTAACTT